CACCCATTCCATTTTAAATAGAATGAATCACAAAAACGAGGATTTGCATAAAGATTCGCAGTCGAGTGATCATAACTTTCTGAACTTAAAACATTGTTAAGCTCAAAATGAAATTGAATGATATTATTATATTCGAATAATACAGCAGTGTCATAGTTATTACAGTGTTAGATTAGATTTTTATTGACTCGTACTGTAAATTATATCGTCCATGAATCGGTTTAAATTGAACTGTTGTTGAAATGATTTCTAACAAGCAACGCTCGAAGTTATTTACGTTATGAGGTACTAAAACTTGTATATGCCCCATTTTTTTCAGCCGAGTTCGTTCTTTGGTCTCGAAACGATGCAATGGTATAAAATCAATACACGGTGGACTATGCGAGAACAAACTAATTGGGTCTAGGATCTCATTCATTATAGCATCAGTGCATTCTAGCGTATCTCGGAACATGCATTTAGGCGTAATCCGTGCCATAGTCCGGGACAAAATTGCTTTGCGATAAGATCGCGAACAAGGAACAACTTAAGAAATTAGTTATCGAAAAAGGATAAAAAAAGCAAATGTAAAAATAAACGTAACATCGATTTGGGTAATTTTTATACGCTGTGTAAGTTTGGAAAGTCATTTGAAAGAAATCATTGCTTGTTACCGAGCTAAATAACTGGCATTGTTAAATTAGATTTTGAAAACTTGATGATCAAAATTGTTCGTTACAGCGAGACGAGAAACCAAAAGATTAATAACAAAATTCGAGAATCTTGTTCCCGAAAAATGGGAAAATTCAATTCCTGCACACTCGAACAGAAGATTATTCGCATCCTGCACGAAATAATAAAAGCAGACTGTTAAAGGTCATTCAGGAAAGCAATCAGCAAGTTTTTAAGGTTAGCGAGAACATCTGTATCGTAGAATGGAGGGAAGCCGCGTTTACGCTTTTATTCCAGTAAGCACTGCCTTATCGCTTGTATCGTTAAAACCTGCTATTTGTTTCGCGATCTCTCGTTTCAATTACGAATTAAATTAGAATCCCGCGCAGTACAATCTTTGCTGGCAGAAAACAAGGTCCGCGCACCTGTGTCATGATCTAATTTCCAATTAAGATATTATTAATACCGATGCCAGGGGAAACGGCCATTATATCTCGCGGATTATATTACAATTTACGCCTGAATCTATTCGCGTGTAGAAACTCTGCCCATAAGCGGCTAAATTTCTGATATCTCTATTCCATGTGCGTTTCCGCCTTGAATTAAACGAACCTCGGGAATATTCATGCGAGCATGCATTTCAAACAGCAGAAAAGAATAGTTGGTAAACATTTTCATAGCGCGTTAGCTGCGGACGTTACAATAATCCCATGTCGCCTATACGCGGCCACGTTTTTCAAATAATACATTGCGCAAAACCACGCCAAATTTCGCCGCTGCGAGAAATGTCTCTCTCGCGCCTTGATTTCCCAAATGCAACACCTGCAACCTTGTTAACGTACGATTCTTACGCTAGAACGCGGATATTTTATGCAAATTACAGATTTTCTGCATCGATTGCAAGAACTTCGACGCTAATTGGAAATTCGAAAATAATGTAGCAATATTAACTTTATCAAGCTTGATGCTCTTGTCGCGGATAATTCTGGAAGACTTAAAGGCATTATATGGAATGGTGATATTTAAATTATCACATGTTTGCGGAGGAACCGAGTTTACGACGTTATTTACATTATAAGTTACAAGACGAGAATAACATGTTGTTAGTTGCAGCTGTTCAAAATTTGTATCGAATAACAGTTGCAGCTGTTCAAAACTTGTATCGAACAATAGTTGTAATCATTCAAAGTTTGTATAAACCAACA